TGCCTAAAATAACAGTCGCAAATTTTTTTTTGGAGAGCCACATAGGAAATATTTTAAGTTTGGCAGGCCAGTTTGTCTCTGTCACAATTATTCAACTCTGCCATTGTAGTAAGAAAGCAGCCATAGGCAATATGTAAAGAAGTGGGCATGGCTGTGTTTCAATAAAACTTTATAGATATTGGGGGCGCCTAGGTGGCTCAGTGGGTTAAAGCCTCTGCCTTCAGCTCAGGTCATGATCCCAGGGTCCTGGGATCGAGCCCCATATTGGGCTCTCTGCTCAGCGGGGAGCCTGCTTCCCCCTCTCTCTCTGCCTGCCTCTCTAATTGTGATCTCTCTCTGTCAAATAAATAAATAAAATCTTTAAAAATAACCTTTATAGACATTGAAATTTCCATTTAATATAATTTTCACATGTCACAAGATACTCTTTTTTATTTGTTTTTGACTACTTGAAAATTCAAAGCCTTCTTAGCTTTTGAGTGGTACAGAAAGAGTCAGTGTGCCATTTTTGGCTAGTGGATGATAATTTACCAGTCTCTGTTCGAAGGCATCAGGCTCAAGCAAACACACTGAAATATGTATTATTATGAATTACGTTCTTTTATTTCTTCTTTACTTTATAGCTAAAGTACTGTGTTAATTGTTTGAAATGGATCGGTGTAATTACTATCAACAAAAATTTTTGTAAAACAACTTGGTAAAAATATTTAATGTAAAACATATTTTTGAGTGCTTTGAAGATCCTCACTTGTAATGGTAAGATATACACCAGAGTGTGGCTTCTCATTGTGGATTTGATTTGTATTTCCCTGATGTTGAGTGATGTGGAGCACTTTTTCATGTGTCTGTTGGCCATTTGGATGTCTTCTTTGGAGAAATGTCTGTTCATATGTTCTGCCCATTTCTTCACTGGATTACTTCTTTTTGGGTGTTGAGTTTGGTAAATTCTTTATAGACTTTGGATACTAGCCATTTATCTGATAAGACATTTGCAAATATCTTCTCCCATTTTGTCAGTTGTTTTTTGGTTTTGTTGACTGTTTCCTTTGCTGTGCAAAAGCTTTTCATTTTGATGAAGTCCCAATAGTTCATTTTTGCTTTTGTTTTTCTTGCCTTTGGAGATGTGTCTAGCAAGAAGTTGCTGTGGCCAGGGTCACAGAGGTGGCTGACTATGTTCTCCTCTAGGATTTTGATGGATTCCTGTATCACATTTAGATCTTCCATCCATTTTCAGTTCATCTTTGTGTGTGGTGTATGAAAATGGTTCAGTTTTGTTCTTCTGAATGTGGCTGTCCAGTTTCCCCAAGACCATTTGTTGAAGAAACTGTCTTTTTTCCACTGGACATTCTTTCCTCCTTTGTCAAAGATCAGTTGACCACAGAGTTCAGGGTCCATTTCTGGGCTCTCTATTCTGTTCCATTGATCTATGTGTCTGTTTTTGAGCCAGGGCCATACTGTCTTGATGATGACAGCTTTGTAATAGAGCTTGAAGTTGGGAATTGTGATGTCACCATCTTGGTACTCTTTTTCAACATTCCTTTGGCTATTCTAGGTCTTTTCTGGTTTCATACAAATTTTAGAATTATTTGTTCCAGCTCTTTGAAAAATGGTGGTGTTTTGTTAGGGATTGCACTAAGTGTGTATGTTGCCCTGGGTAGTATAGACATTTTAACAATATTTGTTCTTCCAATCCATGAGCATGGAATGTTTTTCCATTTCTTTGTGTCTTCCTCAATTTCTTTCATAAGTGTTCTATAGTTTCCAGAGTAAAGATCCTTTACCTCTTTGGTTAGGTTTATTCCTGAGTATCTTAGTTTTTGGCGCAATGAGATGCTTCCTCACACCAGTCAGATGTCTAAAATTAACAAGTCAGGGAACAACAAATATTGGTGAGGATGTAGAGAAAGGGGCACCTTCTTACATTGCTGGTGGGAATGCAAAGTGGTGCAGCCACTCTGGAAAACAGTATGGAGGTTCCTCAAAAATTTAAAAATAGAGCTATCCTATGACCCAGCAATTGCACTACTGGGTATTTACCCAAAGGATACAAACATAGTGATCTGAAGGGATAGGGATACCTGCACCCCAATGTTTATAGCAGCAGTGTCCACAATAGCCAAACTATGGAAGGTGCCCAGATGTCCATCAACAGATCAATGGATAAAGAAGATGTGGTATGTTTATACAATGGAATAATACTCAGCCATCAAAAAAGAGACCTTACCATTTATAATGACATGGATGGAACTAGAGGGTATTAATGCTAAATGAAATAAATCAATCAGAGAAAGCCAGTTATCATATGATCTCACTCATATGTAGAATTTAAAGAACAAAGCAGATGTTCATAGGGGAAGGGAGGGAAAAATAAAACAAGACAAAATCAGAGAGGGAGACAAACCATAGGAGACTTTAATCATAGGAAACAAACAGGATTGCTGGGGGGGGCGGTGCAGATGGGGTGAGTGGGTGATGGGCAGTAAAGATGGAACATGTTATAAGAAGCACTGGGTATTATAAAAGACTGATGAATCACTGAACTCTACCTCTGGAACTAATAATACCTATATGTTAATTAATTGAATTTAAGCAAAATGAAATTAGAAAAAAAAAGTGAGTGTGGCTGTCCCAACAACTACCTCTGAGAATAAAGAAAGACGGTCGTATTTATGGTTTACGTTGTTCAAGAGAGTCAACAATCCTGATTGGGTAAAATTTGGTGAGTTTTGATAAAACTCAGAAATTCTTGTCTTTGATAAGGAAAAACAATCCTGGCTTATCTCTAATGCAAAGCTGTTAGGTGGTGTCTGCAGTTCAATACTTTTGGGGTTTCAGATAAGTATATCTCTTCCGGACTTGGGACATGCTTCATATCCAGCAGAGGTAGGCTAAAGTTTAGTGAAATATCAGAGTGGTTTTTGTTTGTTTGTTTGTTTGTTTTGTAGGGTCTACTGCCTATGAGTTTTATTTAATTATCAAGGTGGCATTACAGAATGTTTGTTTCAAAAATGGGTCACTGTAGGGGTGCTTACTGGCTCATTCAGTTAAGCGCCCAACTCTTGGTTTGAGCTCACATCATGATTTCAGGATCCTGGGATTGAGCCCCACGTCGGGCTCCATGCTAAGCACAGAGTTGGCTTGCCATTCTCTCTCTCCCTCTGCCTCTTCCCCCTCTTTCTCTCTCTCTGTTTAAAATAAATAAATAAAATATTTTTTTTTTAAAAAATGGGCCACTGGATATGAGTGCATTAGGTGAATCTGATCTCACAGATTTCTAAACCTTTGGCATTCCCCTCTTTCTCCTATGATGACTGTCCAATGATCTGGGAAGGAAGGGGAGGGTGGATTATGCAATATTAAGGCTTAGAGGAAGCATCAGAATTGCTCTGAACCAGAGAAATGTCCACCATCTGCCTACTTGGTAAACTTTCCAACCATATAACTTTCTTAAGTCAGTCTGGTGTAAAGAATTCCTAGCTGATTTCACATCTCCTTTTCTTTCCCTAGTGTCACAAATACTTGGAGTCTCTCCAGCCTCTGCTTTGAGGCCACTTCTCCCTTTGCCTGCTGCCCCAGAACAGATCACTGGCCTTCCACTCAGCTGCCTTTAGGATTGTCCTCAAGGGCTGTGGGAGCTCTATCCATTCCACATGGAAATAGGATCCTGGGTAACCCATTGTCCTTTGATGCCTCCCAAGCCCTAGACTTGCGCTAGGCAACTTGGAGCAGGATATCTTTCCAGAACCTTGAGTAGGGTCTTTTCCCCTCTTCTCTTTGTGTCTGAATACCTCAAACCCCACTGCCCTCTCCAGAAGAAGTGGGTTTCTCTTTCACTCATCCTGTGTCATAAACCATTCTTCATCACAAAACTACTAGCCTCAGTGGCCTTAATGTCCCAGGCAGAAAAATATCTTCCCTCTACCATGGGAGACTCTTGGAGCTAAGGGATGGAAACTCCTATGGAAGCTAAAGGAATTTGGTAGATCCTCTCTCTATGCAAAGCTGTGCTTTCAAACGCATTGTTTTGGACCATGTTCTCTCACTGAGAATGATGCCTCTGAAGGAGACCGAAAAAAAAAACCAACAAAAAAACAAAAAACAAAACCAAGATTTAAAGAAATGCAATGCAAAGCAAGGTTTAACATTAGCTATATCCCCGCTGAATTACAAATACGGTGGAAGTTACCTTATTTTCTTTCAGTGGGACTGACAGGTGACATGTGGATGCGGTTCAGTAGTGGAAGCGTCCACACAAATGTCTGCCTCCAGCACTGTGGGGCAGATACCCACCTGTAATAGAATCACCCTGATCACCCACCAGCTGTCATCAAGGTCAAAGATTATCCTGAGGTCCCATCTGCAGGAGCTCACAGATCCCTGTGCTATGTATGTTCCAATTTCTTGGGCTTTCCCCTTTTTCTCCCTATGATGGCAAAAACTCTCACCATGATGATTCATATTCTTGTTTTCATTTTCCAGGGGCCTGAGGAAAGCTCTTCCCTCTTCTAGCCTCGCCCTTTTAGCAAATGCCCTACCACCTCTCCATTCCTAAAGGGTTTCTGCACCCCTTGTCTGGCTTGTGGGTGGGATCAGCCTCCTCTCCTCGATCCCAGTGGAGGGTGTGTGTGTGTGCGCACGTGTGTGTACACGTGTGTGTGTGCGCTCATGGGTTTGGGTAGGTGTGGAAAAGAGATGAGTCGGAGGTAGAGACAAGTGACAGGGGAATTGAAATAGACTTAAATACATAATTACTGTCTATTTCCCTTCAATAGAAATCTACTGAGTGCTTTTTGATAAAAATACGATGACAAGATATTTCCAGGTTAATAATCTATCTGAAAAAAAAAAAAAGGAGAGGGAGGGTGGCTGTTGCATTTTGTAGGAAAACTTGTGGGTAGAAGAAGATTATTGTATGTATATTCACTCTTCTTCCACAGCCAGGACACAGGGATCCTTGGTTAGCCTCTCAGTGTCTCTCCCCTTTTTTTTTCCCTATACAGCTCAACAGAATTCACCAAAAATCCATGAAGGCTGGTGGGCGTACAAGGAGGTGGTCCAGGGAAGCTTTGTTCCAGGTAAATACACATTTATTCATATTCTTTTATTTTTTTAAGGAAGGAATTTGAATTTGAATGAAATAGAATACTATTTCCAGAATTTTGCCTTTGCTGCATGGCAAAGAAGGCATTGCAAGGAGCAGCAGCGTCTCTTGTATATGGTGGATATAAGACTTTTCCATCAAGGGCCAGTTTGTTCTAGACTGGCAATTTCACCAAGATCCCCTTGCTCCATGGGAGCCTACATCCCAAGGCCTTTCTCTCTACAGGTGGCTCTGCCAGCAGGAGGGCTGTGGAGAACTAAGGGTGGAAGCTCTGCTGGAATTTCGTTAAATAAGAAAGAGCCATTTTTTTTTTTTTTAACATTAATGAAACAGGAAGTCTGGAAAGGCTGACCATGACAGTGAGGCTTGCTGGGATGCATGCTGTCACTGATGTCACTTGAGTAGCATCTGTGGTCAGAACTCAGCAGATTGGGCCAAGCATGGGCTAAAAATAACGGCTGGAGTGAATGCTGTCACCATGGGAGTAGGGGAGAGAACTGAAGGCAAATTAGAGCCAGAAACATACAATGGCTTTAGGGTCTAAGGAAGCCTGGAGGGTCCTTGTGGCCCCCCACCACTCTGACCTTAATCACAGCCCTCCCCTTTCTTCTGTATCAGACTTTAGTGGGGGAGAGAGGCAAGAGGAAAAAAAAAAAAAAACAAGAATGTTAAGGAGAAGGACGGATGGAAAGGCGGGTGAGATATTTCAAAGTATTTTTAACTGCCTAGATGTGGGATGGGAAGAAATGCAGCACATGGGAGGAGTCGGTATGGAGTCCTCACTTAGGGGCTAAGCACAGAGAGCTTCCCGTGTCGGTGGAGATCCTGGTACTTGGTGGCAGGTGGGAAGAGCCACGTCCCCAGCTCAACCCGTTCAGCCTTGGCTGCTGTTATGTTCTGGTTCTTCTATGGAGTTCCTAATGTCAGCTGTGCAGAGCACAGCAAGTTACTAAACCCCTCCGAGCATCACTTTCTCAGCTGAACTGTAGGACAGTAACCCATGCTCTTGAGGCTTTCCGGTAGGAGGAGAGCAGCTTGGTGAAGGTGCGGTGGGCAACCCACGAAAAAGCCAGCTGACTGCAGAATAGCCTCATAAATTAAGATTATTAACCGTACAAATTGACTTTGGCACATTTATTCCTTGGCCCAGGGGGCATAGATACTGGTCTTGATTAGTTCACCCAGAAATGATCAGGTTTCTAACAACTTGATTGTCACAAGCTATATTCATGTGGCCTGATCTAGATACATGGCATTTTATCCTTAACAGCTGGGACATCCCTTGCCAGTGGATGGCATGCTCATTGTTTTTCTGAGGAATCCGCTTCTCAAGTTCAAAATGTCCCAGAAACCGCATTCATACATACATGCTTTGCAATTGTGGAATTAGAACCACAAAGGGCATTCCCTCCAGGTTATCATGAGTTTGTCCAACTAAGAATATCCTCTGTGGTGACTGAAGTGCTCGTGGATAATACTGAATAAACCCTGCAAAGTGTTGCTTTCCTGCCCCACATTTTATTTTTGATGTTTCCCCCTCCGTTGGCACATCCCTTCTCTACACGTGTCCAAAGCCCACTTTTGATTTGGTTGTTGCTTCTGAGACAGCCGCAGGAAAAGTTTTATTTTTCCTTTTATGTGTTGATTTTTAAAAAAAGCTGAACTTTCCCTCTTTGCCAGCTTCATGGGAGATAATATGTATAAAATGGGCAGTGTGGGCTCTCGCGTCAGACACACCAGGTGCTGAGTGGGGGTCCTACGGCTTCCTCCTGGTAGTTCTGTCTGCAACTTGCCTGCCACCTCTCAGTTATTCATCTGTTAAAATGGAGATAAGGACCCAGTCAGCCTTATGAGGTTTTGTGAGGATTAAATTATAGAACGCAAGATAAGGTGCTTATGGTCATGTCTGACCCATGGTGTGAGTACAAGTCAGTCGTTCTGGGCATTACTGTTATTATTTTATGAATAGCAGTACAATTGGATGTTTGCTACTTTTCTGCTTGGGCAAAGGCAGAGAGCTATTAACTGGAAACCTAATAATGTAAATGAGGGTCTCTTATGATGCGTGGAACACGGAAGACGCGCAGTGATTGTTCCTTGGGTTGGTGAGCTCAGCTGGTCTCTAGGCAGTGGCCAACTGAGAAGTGACTTTATCATCCTCTGCCTTTAATGGTCCCAAAGGCCCTTTGGCCTCCTGGGAAAGAAGCCTGGTATCTGATGGTTTTACTTCTTAAGCTTTGGGGTACTCCACTCTGTTAAGAGAGGAGTCATGAGACTTTTTGAATTAAGTAATTGGACCTGAGGCTCTAGCCTCTGACACATTCCAAATGACCTCCTTTATCTGAGTTGGTGCTCAGGGCGAACCGTGGACCCTTTATCTCTTATTCTCATTGCGGAGTATAAGGTTAAGAGTGCTCTTTGCTTTGCCACCGGGACTTTCTTCATGTGATGGATGTGTGACAAAGAAGAGGACTTTGTATGACCAGACTTTTTGAGCAAGTTTTATTGCCTCGTAAGTTCTTTGCAAGAGTATCTAGGAAAAAGTTGGCACAACAGTTGTGAATCTGTGATTTCAACAAAGCTCGTGGTGCCTAGAAATAGAGGATTTCTCTGGCCATGGCAAGCACAAGGTTGATTTAGCAGCAGAATAACCCCCTTTGGTCAGTTCAAAGCACCTGTAGAGTCGCCTCTCCTCCCCCCGCAATGGGAAGCACCATGCTTGGGGCTGTTGATATCAAGAGGTGACTGATTCACGGTTCTGATTCAAGGGTGAACCCACCATCTAAAGAGGAAGATGAAACTCAGAATGAATGTAGTTCTTGTGCGGCTTCCTTAGCATTGAATTAACCATGGAATGGCCTCATTTTCTTACGTGAGACAACTGAGCTCCTGCTGTTGGAGGTGTTTTGAGTCCCGCTTTCTGCTCCTTGCAGCCCAAACAAAGCATTCTCCCAGATTCAGGGTTCTCAGTGGAGAAGGAGGAAAAGGTGGACAGCGTCGGAGGGAACCGCACCGGCGGAGTGGGGTGGAAATGCACGGTGGGTGCGGAGAGTATCCACAGAGCAGGGCGCACCGTGGGGTCATGCATGAGGAGGCCGGCATGTCCTCAGGGGCCAGGCCATGAGAATCTTTGTGTTTTGTGTTCAAGAACTTACTTTCCCTTTGAGAATGGAGGAATTATAAGACCTCGCTAACCTCTGGAGAGACATAACCAAATGCATATTTTAAAAAGTCAGGTCTGGGAGCACCTGGGTGGCTCAGTGGGTTAAGCCTCTGTCTTCAGCTTGGGTCATGATCTCGGGGTCCTGGGATCGAGCCCCGCATCAGGCTGTCTGCTCGGCAGGGAGCCTGCTTCCCCCCCGCCCACCTCTCTGCCTGCCTCTCCGTCTACTTGTGATCTCTGTCAAATAAATAAAATCTTAAAAAATAATAAAAAAATAAAAAGTCAGCTCTGGCTATAGTCATGGAGATGTAGTGCCTTTTGATAAGAGTATTAGAGAGGTGCCCGGGTGGCTTAGTCTGTTAGACATCTGTCTTTGGCTCAGGTCATGATCCCAGAATCCTGGGCTGGAGCCCTGCATCAGGCTCCCTGCTCAGCACGGAGTCTGCTTCTCCCTCTGCTGCTCTCTCTCTTTGTCAAATAAATAAATAAAATATTTAAAAAAAAGAATATCAGAGGCACAAGGATTCATAGGGAGCTTTTTTTTCTTTCTTTTTCTTTTTTAAATCATTCAGGTAAGAGATGGCAGGCACCTATACTAAGATAGTGAGGGGGAAAACAAAAACAAAAACAAAAACCCACAAAAACTGCAAAAAACAAACCCAAAGACCAAACCCCAAAGCTGCGTTAATCATGTTATTGAAGGATTCGGCTTAGGGTTTGTTTAGTGACATTTAAAGTATATCTCTCTTTCACACATGTAGATAACACATTTATCATTTAGCATAAATACACACATTTAACACATTTCAGAAAAATTTGTGCCAAATACTGTCTTTTCACATTCCATTTATCCAAAACAGTAGGGGAATCAGCATTCTCTATAGAGGAGGCACTATGCTAGGAGCTGGGGTTTTAAAAAAGAGATGGCCTCTGACTTCTTTCAGTCTTGTGGGAGAGACAGTGGCTCAAAGTAAAAAGGGGCCTCTCAGCCCAACACCTGCTTCATGTGTCTGGCTGTGTTTGGAATGGGGACTTTCTCTCTTTCCAGACTAGGACATCAGAGTCGAGAGGCTTGCTTCTGTTTGAAAGCTTTAAATCATGACACTTAGGGTATATGTTTTTAGAACTTTATGAAACCCTAGAGCAGGTGGAGAATCTCTCTTCCATCATCACCTCCTAAGGCTTGCTCTCAGGGTGCTGAACCTGACCTCTTAAACTCACTCATCCAGCAGGCTTTCTCCAGATGCTTCCTTTCTGCTTCATCCTTGGTGGGTAATGACACAAAGGGGGCACCTGGATGGCACAGCTGGTTAAGCTGCTGCTAACTCTTAGTTTCAGTTTAGGTCTTGGTCTCAGTGTCATGAGATAGAGCCCCGCATCAGGCTCCATGCTCTGTGTGGAGACTGCTAAAATTTCTCTCTTCCTCACCCTCTGCTCCTCCCCCTGCATGTGCGTGGGTGCACTCTCTTTAAAATATATAAATAAATCTTTAAAAAAAGACATAAAGGACATTCCACTGTGGTCCCAAGATGCTGAGGATAGTGAGAGAGCCGGAGATAGGTAATTATCCATGACATGACAGCGTTGCCAGGATTCCCATGGAGGGTGTCTGGGGTTGCCCACTTTGAGAGAGCATGGAGGGCTTCCCCGCCAATGAAGTGCCTAAACTGGGTCCCCAAGGGTACCATGTGTGATTGTGCTATGGCAGAAAGGGAAGAAATGATGCTTCAGAAAGGGGAGGGAGGTGGGCAAAGGCCTGGAGGCCGGGAAGAGAGAGGCTCACTGTGCAAGGAGAACTGGGGGGACTTAGG